TCGTCGTATAAGCATTCGGTATTTTTAAGATTTTAACGATTTGTTTTTTGGATATTGCCAAATGGTGGAGGGTATTAAAAGTTCGGCCCGACTGAACTTACTGCTTTTTTACTTGTTATACCTTGTTATTCATTAAAAAAATCTACTTGAGATAAATTTGCAAATTCATTTTATTTGATATGAAAAACGCAACAGAACTCAAAACAAAAATATCATTGCGAAAAGAAAAATAAACAAACTTCGAATATAAATCCTTAAATATTCATATTTAAATATTCCAATTAAATATGTGTTCAAAAGCACCTACGCTCTCCATAATCATTTTCTTTTTAAGATCCTCGAAATATTTCCGTGCATAATCACAAAAGTTTTCGTAATGATGAGTCATTTCGACAAGTTTTTGATATTGATGAACCCCAGAATTGTATGGTCTTGCCTCTATGAGCCGAATTTGTACTTCGGTCTTCTTCCTGGATATCTCCAACAAAAAAGCCTCCAAAATCCATGCTTGGTTTCTCGAAAACAGCTGCTTTAGCTTCAACTCGGGACAATTAGGATCTTCTAAATATATTTCTAATAACTCATGTACAGCCTTCTCGTATTCAGCGCAAAGTTTTTTGAGTTTTCTATCCATTTGTCTTATGGACTCCATTGTCAATAGAATTTAATTCTTCTTTTAAATAAAAATCAAATGTCTGCAACAGACGCTCTATTTCTTTGTGATTCGGTAATTCCCAAGATAAAATTGGCACCACTCTCTTCTAATCGAAATTAAATATTTGTAGAAAAATCGACTAATCGATTTTTAAAGTAAAAGTTTCATTTTATTCGTACATTTTACATTAATCAGGTATCAATTTGTTTTAAAAACAAATCCCGGACGAATAATTGCCCTGTTACTACAAGCAAAATACGTTATCGCAGTAAAAACTTTTATGATATGTTCTCATTGCACTTTCAGTCCAGTTGTTCGCTCTCGATTCGTAATTCATGTTAAAATAATTCCTATTTTAAAAAATTTTGTTTGTTGATTTTAATGAAAGTTTATACGAAAATACATGAAATTCTCACTAATATGAATAGAAGAAATTATTGTTTTTCTCCCAAAGATTTATTATATAATTAATTTTACAATTTTCATTGATTTTTTCAACTTTTTGTGTAAATTTTGACATTTTGAACGTATTTTTGTATTTTTTTAGTTTTAAATTCCGCTGGAGAGACACTTGTCAAATATTTTTTCTGTCGATACAAACATTTTGAAAATATTGCCTCTTTGGAAATTTCAACTCGTGGACAAAATGCCCACCTCGGATGGGAGAGAAAACAAAATTTACAGTTGATTGAATGTACATACTCCATCCAACATTGTAGAAAAAAATAAATTTATTTTTTCAATTTCTTGTACGTTGCAGTTTAGAGTTCGTTATTCAAAAAAAAAAAAAAAAAAAATAATAATAATAATAATAATAATAATATTAATAATAATAAATAAATAAATAAAAAAAATTTTATTCATCATTTTGAACACCCTAAAATAAATTGGCAGTTCATTGAACAGCAACTTTTTTGATGCGCTTGCATGTATTATTTTACCGCGCATGGTACAAGCAAGAGATTTACATTTGGTCTGTTCCACAACTGCAAGAAGGTAAACGTTTTTACTACCTTAACCGATTCTTCCTCTATGATATCGAAGAAAACTAGTAGATTTTTGCAGGTACTGGAACAGAGCAATTATTGCAATTCTGGAATAGAATAGCATGAATATGTACAAATCAAGGCCCATTGCCTTAAAAACAGCTGTTGTACTTCTTTGAACTGTCAACATTTCTTCTGAAGCGGATAATAATTCGCCTTTTTTATCTTTTTTGTGACGAATTTGTAAACATCTACGAGAAAAAAACAAAGTAAAACATACGAAACAAGGCACACGAGCATAGTATTAAAATTATACAGAAGGCAAGACGTTTCAATGAACATATTTTGGCAAATTGTGCTCCTTTTTGACCTTGCGTCTTCGTACTTTGGAATGGAGGAAAAATCGGATTTGCAGTCAAGCAGCCAGAATAGAATTAGGTGTGTCTGGTTACCGTAAAATTTTTAACAACTGTTACTTTTAACACAAAAGTTCTGCAAAATAGAGTTACTCGAGAGAGGAATTCTTTCACTAAGTGTCTGCAAATTCTTCCTGGACAAATTTCTTCTTGCAATCATTTGCAAGAATCATTCAATCATTCTTCTTCTTCCGAAGCACATTTAAAACGTATTTATTTTTATTTATTTTCAATTTGAGTGTACTTCATTTTTTTTATTCCTTCGTTTTTCATAAATCAGCTGAGAATAAAAGATAATAAAACTCTCAGAAAGAAATTACTAGACAATTACTTCCGGAAAATAATCAGACAGGCCTATTGTATAATGACAGCTTTTCATTTTTCGGCGAATTCCAAATATAAACAAATGTATTTTGACAGAATGGGTGAAATCAGCTGCGCTAATCGGAAGACCTATTTAATGGGCCTTGGTACAAATTTTTCACAGAAAACGCACAGAACTAAAAAAAAAATAAATTCGTTTGGTACATGGTAGAAATACCAGGTAACAACATAGGCGAAAATTACAACAAAGCAACTTTTGTCGGAACTTGATATGTCGAAATTGTAAGCAAGACGAATTTACTTGACATATAAAATTTGAGGCAAATTGTTTTGCACCAATCAGAAAATTTCATTTTGAAGCATTGAATTATTTTTATTTACATTTAAAAAATATATATTTTACAAGGAAATTTTGTGAAAAAGTCGAAGACTCGAAATAAGACAAGAAACCAAGAAACAACCACCAAAATGAGGATAATTTACAAAGGCTGCTGCTCCAAACAATGAATTTTGCCGTGGAATTCTAAAAATGTAGATTCCTTCAACACATCAAATCCTCAAATTTTAAAGAAAATTACCGGCTCTTAAATCGTGGATATTTGAAGAACATTCCGGGTCTCAGTCGTGGCTATATCTCGAAAGCATATTTGCGGATCTCAAATGGTGGATTTATTGATTTATTTCAGACCTAAAAATGTTTATTTTTGAAATGAGACCAATTGTTTATCTTGAAGTCCTAAAGGAATCGTCCATCAATAAAAGTCCAAGTTTTAAGGAGCTTCAGTCGGAGCTTCGTCAGAAATATATAATCAGAATTTGATCACTTATTTATGTTTACTTTATTTGAAGGACGTATCATAATTGTTTATCTCGAAGGCCTAAAGGAATAGTCCATCAATAAAAGTCCAAGTTTAAAGAAAAATAAGTTCAGTCGGAGCTTCGACATAAATATATCCTCAGAATTTGGCCACTTATTTATCTTTACTTTATTTCAGGAACGTATTATAAAGATTAAATAATTTCAACATTTCACTAAATCTAGTGTTATTACTTTGAAGAGAACTGGGAATTATATCACATTTTATGAGAATAGTCATTATTAAATATTTTGTAGGATAGGTACCAGATCTATTGTTCAAATATGATCTACCTATCCAATCAATTCACGGATATAACTGTATCCACAAGCCCACAAAATAACACACATCTATATTATAAAGAAAACAATAATAATTAAAGCATGAAAAAAATATGGGGTGATTGTATTGACAACCTCCCTATAAAAATATTAGTATATAAGATATGAAACCTTATTTTTATTTTCATTAAATATATGAAAGATTCAATAAATTAAACAATTAAAAAATATGATCTCATGAAGATATTATGAAAGAACATAGACTATTGTCTGGGTGATTAATTTACCCTTTGAGGGATAGAGGGATGAGGGATAGGGCTACCTTGTAATTCTACCATGGTTTGGTAGTTATGAACCACTTTGATTTCTGCTTTGTAATTTTATTCGATACCATAAATCAGGGCTAGGCAGAAAATTCAAAATTATTTATTTTTATATCTGTTTTCGTATTTTTTAAAGATTTTTCGAGACATGGATTTCTTAAAGAAGAGCATTTGATACGTGGATTTCTTAAAGAATATTTTTTGAAGAGTCTTCGGGACGTGGATTGTTAAGAATATTATTTGAAAAGCCTTCAAGACGTAAAATTTTAAAAAACATTAGCCGATGGGATGTTTAGAACCTTTCTCATTCATTATCGATATTAAACTAATTTTTTTGGGGAGAACAAACATTTATTTCTAACGGTGTATTCATAAAAATATCCGGCAGCAACTTCCTCATCGACTTCTTGAATAAAGCAAAATATTCTATCAAAACAACTTTGACAGAAATTTCAAAACAATTTATTTATTACAAGTGTGTTGGTGAACACACAGACATCCCATGGGATACCCTTTGTCTACCCCTGCATACATATCATGGTAGAAGAATATAGGTAGACGCGTCGACACAGCTGCTGGGACAATGAACTGTCAAACCAATTTTGGAACTGAAAATGTTGAATGAAAAGTTATTTAAATTTGTAAAAATTGTTGAAAGCGCGAATTATAATAGCCTCCGAATGACGTAGTATAAGAAAACATATAAAATTCTACATATATTTGAAAAAACATTTACATTTTTTTGACATATCAATGCTCCCAAGCGTTGATGCATCTACCTGTATTCTTCTGCCATGATACACATACAAAAAATATTTTGTCTGTTTCAGATCTGTTTTTACTACGATAAACGATTTTCCCTTTATGATATCGAAAAAAATCGCAAAATTTGTAGATTTTTGCAGGTTCTGGAACAGCCCTATTGTGTTCAGGTTATTGCTATGTCTTAGCTTGAAAATTATTGTACCACTCTTTAAATGACTTTTAGTTGGCTACAACAGGCAGCTCGTGTCAACTCTGTGAAGGCGCTTTTAGATGAAATTTTACAATATATATGTAAAACATTTGCATGTCAAATACATGTTGTGTGGCCAGCTAGTTTAATTCTTTTAAATATGTAATGGCAACACTGACAATACCGCCGGTAACTATTTAATTTGATCGGCATAGATTCTTAATCACACGTCGAGATTTTCGTTGTCGGTGCTGCGTTCTTTTCCTTTTCTAATACAGTGAAATTGCATTTAACATCAATTTGTGACTTTTATTTTCTTTTTTAAGTTTATAAGTTGAATTGAAATGGCCACAAGAACAAATACAATACAGCACAATTCAAGTGGCAGTTCCAAATCTTCATCTCTGAAGGAGATTTGCAATCGTGCGTTGACAGCAAAATCAGAGTGGCTAGATAAGGTATGCGAGAAAGGGCTGATGACAAAATGTTGAAGGGGGATGCGGGTCCAACGTGAATTATTTTAACAAGTTGAATGTTTAATTCAGCTGTTAATTAGGTCGATATTTATATTAACAAAAGCATTAAGGCGACAAATGAAAACTGAACACTTCTATATAAAATAAAGTAAAACTATTTAATTTCTTATTTTCAGGATGAATTCTTAGATGTTATTTACTGGTCCCGCCAAGTCCTTGGTATTATTTTAGGCATTGTTTGGGGTATTGTTCCACTGAAAGGCTTTCTGGGACTTGTTCTGTAAGTTTTAAGATGTAAAAGTCAAATACGTTCATGAAATAAAAGTATTTTTCATTGCAGATTTGCTGGTATAAGTTGTGGCCTAGTTTATGTTTATGCCATAAATTTCCAATCAATCGACGAAGAGGCTTATGGTGGCGCTTGGGAATTGATTAAAGAAGGCTTTATGACATCATTTGCGGGATTTTTGGTAACATGGATTATTTTCTACACCGGATTACACTACGATTCCATAATGGAAGCGAAAGGACTTTGAGACATCTGAATATTTACTTTATAGACGAAAATTTGTAGTTAATTAAATTGTTTAGTTACTCATTTATAAAAGTCAAGCCAAACCGATTCGTTCCATGTCATTGGCAAATTTGTGTGTGTTCGAAAGCAATATGTTATATATAAATGTAAACTTGAAAATATTTATAAACTCGGGTTTTTGAATGCATGGTGATTAGCCAAGATTCAGCCAAAAAGCCTTGCTTTGTTACGATTTAATGATTCCTTTTGTGTAATGAATACATATTTCCCTTGTTCAAGTCATTTTGAATACAAACTTTTTTCTGTGAAAAAGAATAAAGCCAATCGATTACCAAAACAAAAATAAATACATTTCTTTAAAGTTTCTTCTTACAAATTTCAAAATTTTGTATTTATAATTAAAACTTACGAGGGATACAATTTGTTACAGTAGAAAATAAGGTTTATGACTAATGTTCCATGGCAACATCTGAACCGCCTCCTCCATTGGTCGTTGCTCCATTTTGTTCTAGGACAAAATTATCGGGAATTTGACCACTTTGTAATATCTGTGATAGTCTCTCAACCTCAGCTAGGGAACTGGCGCGTTTGATTGCCTCTCTAATGCGTCGAATATCTTCTGGGTTGGCAAATCGTCCGCCACCAGCTTTAGCAGCAGATCCATCAGCCAATGCAGCAGCAGCTGCGCTCTGTTTTGATTTCTTCGCCACTTCCTTCAGTAGTTCTTTTCCCTGTTTTGAACGGAAAAATTCAATAGCGGCCTTACGATCTTTTTGCTTAATTTTTCTGAAGTCCAAGAGTCTTAAATGTGGAAACTTGTATGCCATATATTCTCTGTAGTACGGTTTCGTGGAGACGGGGTTCATAAGAAGACAAATTGTTTCTAAATGCTGGAGCTGAGATAGGGGTTCCAAGTCACCCAATTCTTGCAGGTTGTTGCCACTCAATATTAGGGAATTTAGGTTAGGCACACATTCATGTAAGTCATCACCTATCCGAAGAATGCGATTGTTGTTGAGAAGTAAACACTTCAGACGTGATAAATAAGGCAATCCGTCTAATTTCCTGAGATCGTTGTCGGATAAGTCTATGGTGTCAAACTGGTCTAGCGTTGCGCCCAAATTTTCTATTTGTGGTATTTTGTATCCACGCAAATCTAGTTCCCGCTCCCGGCAGGGATTGATGAATTGCATAGATTGATTTATTAATTCAGGCGTTAATTTTACCATCTTAGTTAAACTTTTGATAATCAATATGAAAATGATATTTTAGCCTAAAACAGCGTTTGTCGTACTCTTCTTCTTACGATGAATAAACGTCGAGTTCTGATGATTGATAACAAAGTATGACCGGTAGTAATGCCAATTTCTTTCTGTGAAAAATCGCTACAATTCTCCTTATACACTGGAATAGCATATTTATACAGGTAACATCAAGTGTCTTGTTGGAAACAATTATGGAAAATAAAACAAAGGCTGCTCCAAAAACAATATGTAAAAGAGAAAAATATAATATACGCTTCAATCAATTATATTTAACTTACCAACTCTATTCCTAGTTACTAAGGAAACAAATAAAAATAATTTAGACTATACCCTCATATCATGATTAACGAAATTATCTCGATACAAATTAAAATCAACTCAAAAATAGCATTTGTTTTAAATCCAATATTAAATCGAAATATTTCGAATATATTTTGAAAATGGGCAACAGTGTTCGTGTATCGTTAACTTAATTTTAAAATAGCTGTTAACAGAAACAAACGAATACAAACGCAAGCTTTGGAATAAGTAAAAACCTGTTTAAAAATAAATAATATGATGCAGAAGCGAGAGAAAACGTTTCTAGAGTTAAATATATATTGTAAACTATATAGTTGATAAAAATTTGCCTGCACATTCTTCACATTAAACGAAAACAAACTCCTAAACTCTGCCAGACATTCATACTTCGGTTGGTCATATTTAGTTTTTTTATTATAATCAAGATTTTCAACAATTTGTTCTTCTTATTCTTCGATCGCAACATTGGCAAAAAATTTGAGTTAAAGCATTACTTCTTTCCATTTTTAATTTTCAAACAATTATTTTTGCGAATTCTTTAGAAAGCAAAAAGTGTATGTGTATACGTATTAAAATAGTCTAAACACGTATGGTTTCAACGTTTGATTTGGAAATATAGTCGATTTAAAATGACTAGTCTAAATGGGCTGTAACGCAACCATGGTAGAAGAATACAGGTAGATGCATCAGCGCTTGGGAAAATTGATATGTCAAAAATTTTGTTTTTGTTTCTTAAAAAATAAGTAGATTTTAATATGTTTTCTTATACGACACAAATCGTGGGTTGTTATGATATTTATTTTCCAACATTCAATAATTTTTCATTCAAAATGTTAAATTCCAAATTTGGTTTGACAGATCATTGTCCTACCAGTTGTGTCGATGCGACTACCTTTATTCTTCTACCATGAACACAACGTTATTTTCATGGTAAACGAATATATGTAGAGGCATCAACGCTTGGAAAAATGGATATGTCAAAAATTTTTAAATGTTTTTTTTTTTTTTTTCAAAATTAAGTATATTTGCACAAGTTTTCTTATACGACGCCAATCGGAGGTCATTATAATATGCTTTTACAAATTTAAATAAGTTTTCATTCAACATTATCCGTTCTATAATTGGTTAGACAGTTCTTTGTCCCAGCAGCTGTGTCGACGCGACTACCTGTATTCTTCTACCATGGTTCTTCTTCATTTCAGACATATGTTACCAAATAATACAACGTTGAATGTTAATCTTAAAAATAATTAAATTATTGCCTAACAGCAGATGTTACAGGATATTTCTTACCTCTGTCAAACCAATTTTGGAATTGAAAATGTTGAATGAAAAATTATTTAAATTTGTAAATATTGTTGAAAAACGCGTATTTTAATAACCTCCGAATGACGTCGTATAAGAAAAAATATAAAAATCTACTTATATTTGAAAATAAATTAATTTTTTTTGACATATCAATGTTCGCAAGCATGCATCTACCTGTATACTTCTACTATGGATCTTAAGGCATAAGTACATAAAAAGCTTGAAGTCATGGCTAGGCACATGGTAGAAAAATACAGGTTGATGCATCAACGCTTAGGAACATTGATATGTCAAAATTTTTTAAATATTTCTGCAAAAATAAGTAAATTTGTCTATGTTTTACCGCACAACGCCGATCGGAGGTTGTTATAATATGCATTTTTTAATAATTTTTACAAATTAGAATAATTTTTCATTCAAAAATTTCGATTCCAAAATTGGTTTGACAGTTCATTGTCCCAGCAGCTGTGTCGAAGCGTCTACCTATATTCTTCTACCATGGCTAGGCATATTTATGTCAAATTATAAAGGAAAACGACGGCAGGATTTTAGTGCGGCTCTGTAATCCCTTTATGAAATTTCACAAAATATGCATGGTAGAAGAATACAGGTAGGTGCATCAACGCTTGGAAACATTGATGTGTCAAAAATATTTAAATATTTCTTCATGAATAAGTATATTTATATATTTTTTCCTACAGGACGCCAATCAGAAGTTGTTATAATATGCACTTTTTAACAATTTTTACAAATTTCCATTTTAAAATTGGTTTGACAGTTCATTGTCCCAGCAGCTGTGTCGAAGCGTCTACCTATATTCTTCTACCATGAAAATATGCCTAGCCATGACTTCAAGCTTCTTATGTACTTGTACCTTTACTAAGTAATTTTTCCGGTAACTCAGGAATAGCATTCTTTTTCCGCTTTATCTGGCGTTTATACAATACAAATTGTCTTAAATCCGAACTGTATTTTACTACCGCATACAAACTGAACCGGTTTCATTCAACTCTGTCTAGCTTTTTTAAAGACAGTCAATGCTAGACTAGAAATAAATTTTATTTGATGAAAATAAATCTTCAAAGAATTTTACTATTATTATTGCCTTTGTCTGGACGCCTACTTTGACAAACAATATATGAACCATGACTCAATAATAAAGGTTGCTCAAGAAACTAGAAAAATGCAACTCTGTAATGGAGTATTATAGTGTCAAATGCAACTGCTGGTTTTGTTTATTTTTTTACAAAATATTTATATTGGGGAAAACCCGCGGAGGGGGGTTTCCACAGGATTAAATCTAAAATAGTAGGACAATACAGTTATTTTCCAAAATTGTAAAATGTGTTGCCCATTAACGTCGAAAATATGCATTTATTTTGCAGACGAATTTCAAATATTTTCAAATTGTTGTATTTTTTTATTCAAAACAGCCGAATTTCAAAAATGTTCAAATTGTGGAATTTTTTATTCAAAACAATACACAGAATAAGGGCACTAAAAGAAAAAAATGTATTTAGGGGGTAGCTTTGTTCTACCTTTTGTAATTATGATATGTACTAAATAAAATGTCTTTTACAAGCTCAATAGTGGAATTCTCTAACTCATTTTTTTGAGTTACTGGCAGTTGTCAGCAAGTTAGCGACGATATCAACTAGACGCTAAGACCAACCGATAGATACCATATTGTCAACCTTAACATCTTTTTATACCCTCAACCATAGTATGTAGCATGGTAGAAGAATATAGGTAGACGCATCGACACAGCTGCTGGGACAATGAACTGTCAAACCAATTTAGGAATTGAAAATGTTGAATGATAAATTATTTAAATTTGTAAAAACTGTTGAAATACGCGAATTATAATAATCTCCGAATGACGTCGTATAAGAAAACATTTGAAAATCTACTTATATTTGAAAAAACATTTAAATTTTTCTGACATATCAATACTCCCGAGCGTTGATGCATCTACCTGTATTCTTCTGCCATGGTATGGAGGGTATATTAGGTTTGTCGTTCCGTTTGTAACACCTCGAACATTTGGTATTTTTAAGATTTTAACAGAATTTTTAACGGATTATATTTTTTTTGAAAATTACCAAATTCGTTCCTAGTGGTGGAGGGTATTCAAAGGTCGGCCCGGCCGAACTTATAGCTTTTTTACCTGTTGTTTTCAAAACTTGTAATATTTGTGTTGCTTCCTTTCTTTTAATGGCGGATAAATTGTTTGTTTTAACAAATCAGCTGATTAGTTACACTCAGCGATGCCAACTTAGTGCTTTTCTCGTTATTTATGGTACTTTTTAGACCCCCTAAAACGCCAAAATAGTGGTCATAGCGCGAAACGAAAAAAAACGCACTGTACGTTTTAGATTTTTAAATATAACAATGTTTATACATTCGAATATTTTGATAGTATGACATCTACTTGTCGCAAGTTCTTTACAAATTCTTTACGTGTCATTCCTGTCATTGAAGATCTTTTGTTTACTCTTTTTTAATAAACCATAATAAAATGAAGAATTTTGTGTATTATAAACCAATTGAAGGAAAAGTGAAATGAACGAGAAAAAAACGTAAGTTTATACATGGCTGCTTTTTTGTACGAGTTTACAAAACTTCAACTGAATTTGAAGCTATGGGTTTTATGGGTGAACATAATTGTTTGTAAAAATGTGTATGTCTGCAAGTTTTAACCACATGTAAAATGTTCCTAATATATCATATTTTTTTAAAAATATGTATGCACTTATATACATGAAATATTTATATATGTTGTTGTTGATTTAAGATACATTTTTCAATGGAATTGTCTGCAATTCTACACAAGGAGTTCTTTGTGAGTACTTTACCCCCTGAAATAGAATTGTCGGTAAGGTCCACAATATCGTATATCTCAATATATCGGCATCTTCCGATATTGGGTATTTTTGTAGATTTTAACAGAATTTTTAATGGATTTTTTTTTGTAAATTTCCTAATTCGTTTTAAATGGTGGAGGGTATTCAAAGTTCGGCCCGACCGAACTTACTGCTTTTTTACTTGTTTAAAAATATGTATGCGCTTATATACGTGAAATGTTTATTTTGTTGTTGCAAAATGGTCAGGCTTTATCTCTTTATTGTTGTTTTTATAAAAACAACGTTTGTTTAATGAAATGTTTATATAAGATACGATCTAAATTTTTGAATAAAACAGTACTTAGTTTAAAAAAAGTGTTTTATTGACAATTTTGGTTAGAAAAAAATACATAGCGCTTTTTACGCTTTTTTAAGGAAAATTTTTACGCCATTTACGCTTTTCTGGTTTTTAATTACGCTTTTAGCTCTCAAAATGTTGGCATCACTGGTTACACTCTTCTGCAGTATTACCGCCTGTTTGCTTTTCGCATTCTCCTTGCAAAAGAGAATAAAACTACCTTATTCTCTGAGAAAGATGTTGCTGGACAATTCCTG